CCTCCCCCTCTCTCCCTATTTATTTCAGAACCCCCTTCCCCTCCCCCATTTCTGATGAAGGGTCTAGGCCCGAAATGTCAGCCTTTCTGCTCGGCCTGCTGTGTTCATCCAGCTCTGCACCTTTTTGTCTTGGATTCTCTAGCATCTGCAGTTCCTACTATCTCTAGTAAAAGAATGGAAGACAGGAGAGAATGAAGGACCAAAAACGTTATTCTTCTAGGTCCAGAGGGAGTGCAGATGAGGCAAGAAATAAAACAAGATGTGCCTGGACCAGTTATGCTGCTAAATGAAAGAAGGAAAACTTAAACAAGCAAAGAAAGAAAACAATATTTCCTATTCACCCACTGCTCAAATAATTGATTACATCTCTAACATTTCCCAGTTCTGACAAAAACCCAGTGGCCTGAAACATTAACCATTTCTCTCTGTGCACAGATGATGCTTAGCAAGTCTTATTTGTTTTTACTTCAGAATTAGCACCTACTGCACTTTGCTTTATTAAAAAAGGATTTTTTTTTCTTAAAATACTGGATCAAGAAGTTAGAATTTCTTCAACTAGAAGACAAGAATAGGCATAGTATTCAATTCCAACAGACTTGGAAGAAACCAGACTTGCGAGTTTTCAAACCACGCTCATTTTCATCCATCAATTTTCTAGGTCTTTGTCATAGTGCAGAGCATTAAAGTACTTTAAAATAACTCTAGCCTTAAACACTAAATTTTCTACACTTTTGTTAAAGGCAGTATAAAATGCAGAATATTAACTATTTAGAAATGGCTAGGAAACAATTATGCAGAAGGAGAGTGCACTGCATTTGGACTAAATGATGCTTTGGGACACAAGGTGCATTTAATTAAAATGTTAACAGATAATCCATATTCATTTGAAAATATCAGTTCATTCTTGTAGTGCATGATTCATCCTGAATGAGTAGGCAGTAGATACTTCTCCCAATTTTTTTAGATCCTCCAGTGAAGACACACAGGGATCATGGTCCTGCAACATTAATGGCATTTGGGAAGATGACTTTTCAATGCGTTGTGAACGACGCACAGGCGTCAGAAATTTCAGTACGTTGATTGCAGAGTTTCTGTTTTCCAACGGAGTCACATTTTTGTCACTGCAGAAGAGAAGAATCAATTGGTTATGAAGATGAACAGGATCAAGTTACCAGTTATCAAGTCAATACAATATTAAACATTTAATCCCAGAGTAATTAACTCATAATTGAAAATGAAAACGAACAGATAAAAGTACAACTATTTTACAGAACTGAATCTTGCCAAACACTCCATCTCTTACAGAACATTGCTAAACATCCCTTTGAACTATTAAGATGCACAAAGTATTACTATTTAAAAAGAAAGCAGTTAAAAATCAAGCATTTTCTTACCATTTAATTCTAGGGGTTGCTCTCACACTATACTTAACAGATGATCCTCTATTTTCTATTTTACTTGGTGTCAGAATTTGCTTCAATGGGGTCTTCATGTTGTCAACTGTTACATCTTCCACTCCACAATCCTCTTCATCATCAGCTTCATTTACCACTTGTTCCATAGAAGGAGAATGCAGTTCTTTCATTGTGGTCTGCACTTCCCTTGCATAAAGTTGCTGTTCACCTGCTGCAAGGTCTGCTTTTCCATCACAGGAAACTTGCTGTTTAATAAACAAGGGGTCTCCATCATTTTCTCTGGAAACACTGTGATCATCAGTTGCAGCAATACACATTTCATGGTTCTCTAGAGGGAGATCTTGTCTGTCATTTGTGCAGCCCATATTTTCCTCTATAGAAGGCCTCTCCTCAATATCTGCCAGCTCCACTTTTTTTCCTTCAGGAACACTCTGTTCAGTGACACAACACAGTTCCAGCTTTGGATCTTTCTGTGCTCCATCTTCAGTTTTGTTCATTGCTATTGGTGACAAGAAATACATGTCAAACTTGTAACTTTGCACTGTGATTCTTAAATGTTATGCTTTAAATGATTTTAAAAATACAAGCAGTTTTGAATTGACGATGTCCTTAATTTTTGCCCGATGTGAATCAGAAAGAATTGAAATCATTATTGAACTGGTCTCAAAGACAACAAATTCGAGAAACCACATTTTAAAAACTTATCTTAAAATTCCTGCAAACCACTGTAAATTGGAAATTTACCTTAAGATTATCAACTGCCTAAATGCTATGAGCTAAAAAACTGCAGTGATAATGTTACAGTTTAGTCAAGGGACCAAAGAAGTTCAAAGATTTCCTTGGAAATTTTGTATCTTTGAAAACAAAAGGGAAGTTTCCAAAACGAAAACCTGAAAAATTGTGACTAATGAGAATGCAAGTTCTGAGGAATTTCAAAACAAACAGGCCAGCCAACCACTTTTCTGGTAAAGATTCTTCAAAATTAATTAATTTGGTGGTAGAAATTCTGTCTATTAGCACTGCAAGTTTATTTCCCTTAAAGCATCTAATTTCCTCTTAATCATTGATTTTTCTTTCTACTTAACTAATCATTGATTGCCTCGATTTCCACTATTCTCATGGGCAGCAAGTTCCAGTTCATTGCTGTGTGAAAAAAATTCTTCCTCACATTTCCCCTGTACCGCTTGACCAAAACCTGAGATCTGTGCTCATCTAACGAGAACAGTTTTTCCTGGTCCAGTCTATCCAAAAATGTCATTCTTCAATACATCCACCAGATCTCCTTTGCTTCAGAACAACCTCAAGTTGGACACAATACAGTTTCTCCAACCCAACCTTGCAGCTAAGATCCTCTGTCCCTAGAACCAGGCTCAGTGGTTAGCACTGCTGCCTCACAGTCTCAGGGGCCCAGGTTCGATTCCAGCCTTGGGTGACTGTCTGTGTGGAGTTTGCACAGTCTCCCAAAGATGGAATCGAACCCGGGTCCCTGGTGCTGTGAGGTAGCAGTGCTAGCCACTGATCTTTGAGGATGCCAGGGAGTTGAGTGCAATTAGAAAGCGTATGGAATCTTGGGCTTCAGAAGTATGTATTGAGCACAAAAGTAAAGGTTATGCTGAACCCTTATAAAGCTGTGATTGGGTACGTTTGGTCACCTGACTTTTTTTATTAAGATAGATATGAGGGATCTTGAGAAGCTGTAGGGATTTCATAGAATCCCTACTGTGTGGAAGCAGGCCATTCAGCCCATCACATTTACATGCCCCACCATAGAGCATCTTATCCACACCCCTGCCCTATCCCTGTAACCCTGCATTTTTCCATGGCTAATCCCTGGACATAGTGGGCAATTTAAGCATGGCCAATCCACTTAGCCTGCACAAGGAAACCGGAGCACTCGGAGGAAACCCACGCAGACATGGGGAGAAT